CAGCAGTCTGCCGCCGCTCGTACTGTATATATGTGTGTGTAAACTAACACACATGCTAATGCTAACACTCAGTGATGGAGTGTCATGGTAATTTAATGACTTTGGTGATCCCCTGACTTTTTCTCTAGAGCCGCTGAAAGAAAACCCTCAAAATATCAAAAAAAATAAAGTTTTTACACTTTATTGAGGCGGAAAATTTGTGTTTTTGACGATGTTTTGACAACTACCAGAAGAATTGCTGTGAAATTTCTGACAGACGTTCATGGTACTGGGAGGAAAAACTGTAGTTTATTTTATTCAATACTTTGGTTTATCATCAAATGATCTGTAATTAACAAAGGCTTTTCATGCTAACATGCTAGACCAACGTTGTACCTGCTAAACATCAGCATGTTAGCATTATTAAGGCAAGCATGTTAGCATGCACATATTAGCACATAGCTCAAGTTCAGCTTCACAGAGTTGCTAGCGTGGCTGTGGACTCTTATAGGTTAAATATTTAAATCACTTTTCAAACAAAAATGCCAGATATTTGCTGGGTTTCGATTCTTCTTAAATTATGGTGAACGTCTTTAGTTATGGGACAGTTGTTTGGATTTAGCAGAAAATTTGAAGAGATTACTTTGGACTCTCAGAAAAATCTGCATTTTTTAAAACTATTTTCTGACATTTTTTTTTAAGAAAGTAATGAGTATCTAATGAAAACATGTTAATTATATAATGAATACGACAAAAATAATCATTAGCCCTAAACTGAACATCTGATTTGGTTTTGCATGTCTTGTTTTTTGTGGTTATGAGACGACAGGCTAAGAATTGAAGAAACTATGTGTTAATATTGTCTTAATATTATATTCACATGTAAAGCAGGCAGTAACAATACATGTGAATATCTCAAATAACAGTCGTAAAGTTTGCACAGTAACGAATACTGCTAACCGGATCTCTCGCTCAGTAAAAAAGACTTTCTTTGTGTTTCTTTGCCCCCAAAGCATAGATAGTGTGGAACAGATGATAATGATTCATAGCCAACTTTTTAAGCCGTAACCGTGGAAACGGTGTACCCAAACAACAACAACAGCAGCCACCCAGTGACATTTGAATGTTTCCTTTCTAAAATACCAACGACAGTAACGGCTGTGAATGTGAGTTTTTTCAGGTCAGTCTAATAAAAAAAGCTTCTAGATACTGGTTCAACGTCCTGCAGCAACACACGAGCTTTTTCTCTTCTCGTCACACACACACACACACACACACACACACACACACACACACACCGAGAACTACATCATCTCAGTGAGCATCACATCATGGAAAATACGAGACCATTTTCAACGGAAAACCTCAAAAGAAAAACACCCATTCTTATTGTAAAGTTTCCAGTCCCGTTAAAATCCCATCGAGCGGACCGTTACACACATACAGCAATGACACCTTTCTACAGTTGGCCCATTGTGTCCAGCTGTGTTCAAATCAAAGTCACTCTGGCTCAATGAGCACATTCCAGACAGGACGCCGCTGCAGCGAGGGCATTCAGGCCTCCAATATACTGACGACATTTAGGTAGAGCTCTTTCATACACTTCTATGACATGCTCGCCTGCCAGGTTTTTTAGACTCGTAAAACACTAAAAGGAGGTTTTGCTGGGCAGTTTTGTTCCAGTAACATCAGAGACCAAATCAGGTCAAGAGTGGAAACGGTTGAAAAGGGCTCATAGGTAAAACTAAACTCACGGGCGACTGAAGGTGAATAAAATGCAGGAAGCTGAAAATATGATGTTTTCTAGAAGTAACCTGAGTTCACCGAGCGAACATTGAGCCACTGACGGGATAAAAATAGGGCTGTTATTGAGGATTTCAACCCCAACAAGACTGAAAATTGTCAACGATGAAATGCGACTAGGTTTTACTGTACAGACAAGCGTCTCGTCCAAAACAGACTCCCACTGGGCTCCACTCACAATCATTTATATTGGCTAAACATGGAGCCCTTTCAGAGCAACTCAACCGACAGTAAATGGAAAGTGAAGGTTCCTGGAGGCGAGGAATAAGAGAGATTCTGAGGGGACAGAGCGAAGTTTGAAATGTGGAAAACAGTAAGAGGGAAGTCTGTGTTTCAGCTGCGCCCAGCACACTGAACCTGTTCTCTGAAAAACCTTGTTTTACTGTACGTGTGAAAACAGCATGTGTTTTCATATTGTCTTTGTAAAGAAAAAATTTTGCAAGTGGCTAAATAAAAGGACGCTTTCAGATTTCTTAACTCTGGAGGGTTTTCAAAAAAAAAAAGGTGCCAAACCAACAACTTTCTTATCATGAACGAAAAGCAACCGAAAGAGAAAGAGATGCTTTGTACTGTAAATATGGATGAGCAACATGATCTGATTTCACACCAGATATAAGTGTGAACCACCCTGTGCCAGATTAGATAGATAGATAGATAGATAGATAGATTGGTTGTCACAGATAAAAGAAACAACGCTGACTAAAGGTTTCACACGGGGGGAACAAACAGCGTTCTCCTGACCCATCCGACCACCGGCCGCACATCCCGACCCGCCTCCTCCCAACACAGACTTTGTCTAAATACGACGTCACAAAGAAAGGAAGAAAGAAAGGAATAAGACTGAGTTAGCTTCGCTCCAGCAGTCTGGAGACATATCACTTTGATATTCCAAGCTTGTTCGGGGGGGGGGGATTTGAACATATGATTTTAAAGTCATAAGACGGTCTCTGTAATAATCGAGCCTCTGGCGGTCCGCAGTGTGATGAGCTGTGTTTATCGTGTGATGATAATAATAATAATAATCACTGAGCCGCAGAAACACCGACTCCTTTCTGACTCCGTAAATGTCTGGGAAAAGAAAATCTTTTCTGTCACCCGCTTGCACACCGACACATGCTGATGTTAAACTGGCACAGCATCAAGTGTGTTGTCGAGATCCCACTTCAAAGCTCAATGTGACGACCCCCCCCCCCCCCACCCCCCTGCAAACTAAACACTTAATTTCTCACCCTGGTGCAGCGTTTGACTTGTCTGCCACTTCCAGCTACTTCATTGCACACACACACACACACACACACACACACACACACACACACACACACAGGATGAAGAGAGGAAGCCCGGTCTATTGCCAAACAATCAACCTGTCTCTCTCCTACAGAGCTGTATAAGAAGAGTCTCACAGCAGGGAGTAACCTAAATGAAAAACGACCACAGCAGACAGAGGTGTGAAAATGGAGATGGACGGGGGGGGGGTGACCCCTATCATGTGTCCTGTAATGGGTCTGTAAGGGAGCAGGGGATGACTGATGAAACTTAAGTGCAGCCATTGTGTCGCCATTAAAGAAATTGGCGGCACAGTAAAAACACAGTGGTGTAGGGTGGAAAAGAAGCAGGTGTTTAGGTCTCAGGAGGAGTTTAATAAAATAAAAAAACACTACAGAGTTGCTTTATGGGAAATGTAGGATCCTGTGCTTTTTTTGGGGGGTTTGACCCATACTACCTACACTGGCGACATCAGTTGGGATTGGTCCACCTTATACACATCTGTGTAGTCATCTAAGTCCATTAAGGTCTTCAGCAGGATGCTACACCTGCAGCAGCATTATGTGTTTCTCAGAATAAGAAAGGGATTTTCATCTGCGTCTCTGTGTGTTTGTTACAAAGACCAAGAAGAAGAAGAAGAAGAAGAAGAAGAAGCAGCTTTTATAACAACTGAGAGAAACGACAGCATTATGGTAAAGCAGCTTGCTGAGACTTGCTCTCTAAGCACCTTCTTCCCTAGTTCTGCCCGCCAAGCTTTCTATTCCTCACACAGTTTTTTTTTTTTTTTTTCAGTTTCTAACGTATAAAACCACAAAATAGTTTTTACACTTTGAGATGGAAAAATCTGCTCAATCTCGCTGCTTGATGAAAACAGCAGATTTGCATGGAGTGATGAGGAGACAGTAACCTTCCTCAATGAAACAAACATAAACGCCATATCCCCATCATGTTTTCTACATCTGAGGTTCGACTGCTGCAGTTGCAGCCTCTTCCTCTGCAGCAGTTTAATGGCACCCTACTGGAGAGTCAACGTCGCCTGCTGTTTATCTCGATGGGTATTTGCATAACAGTGGTGGGGGGAAATGTGCGCCAATTAACATTTTCTTTTACTGCTTTTCTGGAAATGTGGTTAAAATTTGCACCAGATTAGCATGAAAACTTGACTGTGTTGAAGTCTAAGCTTCAAAAGCTGTTTCTCCTGCCGACTCTTTTAAGTGTTAAAACAAGAACCTGCTGAAGACTTTAAAAATAACGCAGTAAGAAATGCTACTGTAACTTAGGTGCTGTAGGCATCTAGCTAGTTAGCCAGACATGCTAACATTTGCAGCTTACATACATTCAAAGCAGTCACAAGCCATTCCTTTTTACTCTTGTACTCCTGCTTTTGGAGAAGATGATAAAAAAAAAGAAACCAATCTATACATACAGCACTAAGCTAAGCTAATCAGGGACGTGGTTCGCTGAACAGTGAATTGGCATAAAGTTACTCGCAGTGTTTTTAGCCTTAAAGAGATTTACAACCCGGCAAATTCTCCGTAGGAATCCAAAACTTGTTGCACACAATATAAAATAATTCTATAATCAATTACGTACATGAGGAATAAATATATGCATGAATGCTTTTGCGTTTAATATGTTTGCACACATCCATCTGTCGTTTCAGGTCAGATTCAAACATCTCTCTTAGTATAAAATCTAATCAGAGCATTACAGTAAATGATACGACCGTGTTGGTGCAGTCACATGAGAGAATAAAAGGATGCCTGGATGATTAGACTTTAATCTAATGATTCTATATAGTCAGTACTTTAGCCTTTAGTTATACATGGGATATACATTCAAGACAAATATTCTTAGTGTTACACACATAAGAACTTTACTGACCCTTATAAGTGCTGATATCTCAGCTGTGTGTTTCTTTATAGTTACAGTTAAAGAAGCATGAATGTTACCTTCTATAACCTGCAGGGCAGCGGCCAGCCAGCACAGCAGGAAGAGATGCAGGGCAAGAGACCACCTGAGGAGACACATCAGTCACTGGAGCCACACTTTAAGCTTTGACTTCAAAAGGTAGAAAAAATCCTTCGTAAAGATGTTTTTAGCAAATGGAGACAACATTGATTTAAATGAGCTTCTGTTGCACGTTACTGTGTGTCAATGAAAAGAAGCTGCGGCCAGAGGAAACGCTGCCTCATCTCAGGTCTTCTCTGAGGTGTAACTCAAGTGGTTTATAAAAGTAAAGTTCATTTAAAAATCTGTCTGTTTTCTTTACATGGAAAAAAACAAAAAAAAAACAGGTAGTAAGTGAAGTGTCTTACCCTTGAAACATTTTAGCAACTCAATGAATAAAAATCCAGGTTTGGAAGTGAACTCCAAGTGCATGTGTGTGATGAAATTCAGGGCAAACTCCGTGGTCCCTCTGCCCCACTCTGCAGACCTGAAATCACACTGTGCTCTCTCTCTTCCTCTCTCTCTCTTCCTCTCTCTCTCTCTCTCCCTCTCTCTCTCTCTCTCTCTCTCTCTCTCTCTCTCTCTCTCTCTCTCTCTCTCTCTCTCTCTCCCTCTCTCTCTCTCTCTCTCTCAGTACAAAGGCTGTCTCAGTTCGGAGCTGAGTGACTGTAAGGCCCACGGAGTTGGGAAATTTGACTCCCTTGGAGGAAAAAAAAAAAAAAAAAAGCCCCTCCACCCTCACTCACTCAGTGGACCCTCTCTCTCTAACCTGCTGCTGCTTGAGTCAATTTCCTTTCATTAATAACAACATGATGGCTATTATGATGTCTGTGCACATTTGTGGCTGTTACTTAAGTTAAATCTGTTCATCCATGAGTCTCCCTCTCAAATATATTATTATTATTATTATATACCTCTCCGATTCTTTTCAGACCCTTTTATTTCATGAGAAGTTTTTTAGACTGGTGATAAATAAACAAAACCACTTTTTAATTAATGAATGAAATACACAATAGAACTTAACATAGCTGGATTAATGTGTTAAGTGTCCCTGGGGCAAAGATTTGCCGTTGGGCTCCTCGTCCGAAGTTTTTGTAAACTTCACCAACGTATTACATTTCACTCGCTAACACAAGGACAGGCAGCCGCTCTAACTGCTGTTACACTGCATCCATCCATCCATCCATCCATCCATCCATCCATCCATCCATCCATCCATCCATCTATCCATCCATCCATCCATCCATCCATCTATCCATCCATCCATCCATCCATCCATCCATCCATCCATCCATCCATCTATCTATCCATCATCCATCCATCCATCCATCCATCCATCCATCCATCCATCCATCCATCCATCCATCCATCTATCCATCCATCCATCCATCCATCCATCCATCATCCATCCATCCATCCATCCATCATCCATCTATCCATCCATCCATCCATCCATCCATCATCCATCTATCCATCCATCTATCCATCCATCCATCCATCTATCCATCCATCCATCCATCTATCCATCCATCCATCCATCCATCCATCCATCCATCCATCCATCCATCTATCCATCCATCCATCATCCATCTATCCATCCCTCCATCCATCCATCCATCATCCATCTATCCATCCATCTATCCATCCATCCATCCATCTATCCATCCATCCATCCATCTATCCATAACTGCATATGTATATGTTATATATCATTCCTTTGCAGCGCCGCGCTTTTTGCTCCAGAAAGGTCATTTGTCATGTAATTTTATGACATCACCAGCTGTTTTCTAGTTGCTGTCGTTGTTTTCAGTTCTTTAATCAGTCACACGAGAAAATATTTTCTGCCCGTGATCAGACGCAGAAACAGGAAGACGAAACCCCTTTACTTCCAGAGCTGTGGCGTGTTTGACACTGAAACAACAACGACCAAATAAATACGCAGAGATTTTAATTTCTCAGATTTTTACATTTAACAGCGGCCCGGAGAAATACCTCGTCCACCTGATGCTGGATTTTTCTTCCCCAAGCCAACAGAGACAAAGCTTCAGGGGTTAACAGGGAGTCTCAGTGAAATTACTCATGTTGTGATGTTAACACCCCACTATTAGCAGATGCTGGAATGATAATGGGATGAAGAGAAAGAAAGGTACCCTCCCTTTCCTCCTCTCCCACCCTCAGCCTCTGTCCTTCTGTGTCTCTGCAGACCCCCCCCCACCCCCCCCCCCCCGCCCCCCCAATCCACTATTTTCCCTTGTTAGCTCCTCTCCTACATTTCGCTCTCGCTGATCAGCCAAAGCTAAGGTCAGGGGAAGCTGTGGGAAGACGGCATTGCGTGATGAACGTCGTCTTTGTTGTGAGATCCTGTGATTGCTGTTAGTAAAGAACAGGGGGCTATTTACACATGGACCAAACTGAAATTGTGTGCATGTAGGAATAAAAAACAGGAACATATCCAGAATTATATGATTTATCTAAGGAGCAAAGATCCGTGTGTGTGTGTGTGTGTGTGTGTGTGTGTGGGGATTTTGGGTTTTTACCCGTCAATGTGGAAACTGGAAAGAAAATTACACCACAGCGATTTCACTTTACTTTTTACTGTCAATGTTTTGTTTGAATGAAAAGAAAAAACAGCAACTGGTCTTTTTTTTCCAAAGTTAATCGGCCACCTGACCTGTTCGGCACAGCCACACCGGGGAGCTAAATGCTAACATCAGCATGCTAACATCCTCACAAAGACAATGCTAACATGCTGATATGTAGCAGGTACGGTTGTGTGTCCGATGCTGATGTTGGGGGCTTTGCTCCCAGCGGCTGGTCAACATGTTGGATGACCTATGGGTCGAGCTTTCATGAAGGATGCACTGTTTGTTTTTCATTTAAGCCGTTAAACTTTTGCCCCACCTGTGGCAGAAACAAGCACAGTGCACTAGTCCGTGAACAAGGGTGGGAATGTGTTTGTGTGCAGCTGTAAGGTTTTAGTAAACGGTAGGGCTTCGTGTGGCCCTCCAGTCAAAGGGGGCCTCTGTGCGGAGCTGGTCATGAGGCCCGTCTCGTGTTGATGATGTCATGTCTTGAGGCCCCCCCTCCCCCTGAGGACAGATCACGGCAAGGTCTTACATTTACTCTTTTAATTTTTCTTTTTTTCACCTCACTAAACAGCAACAACAGAATTTTTCTCACGGAAAAGATCTTGCAAAAACTTTGAGGATAAAACCTCCCATGTTCAGAGAAATGAAGACTGTGAACCCATCATTTAGCCCTCTTGTTTTTCATGAGCTCTTTTTTTTTTTTTTATACTCTGACACTTGTGGTCATTGTGTTTTTTTTTATGTGGATCCTGGCCAGAAGACAAGATTGCCATTGAGGAAACAATAAAGTATCAAATTAGGTTCTGAATCTCAGCCTGTGTTTCAAACCGGGCACAGAGTCGGGATTACAGACAGCAGACTGTGGCGGAGTTGTAGTTCAGACAGCGATCAGAGCATCAGACCGGGTAGGTTGTTGTTGTTGTCCTGTGCGTGCTGACCCAGCTAAACCGCTCTGTGGGACAAACAGGAAGCCATTTATCCTGGGCCAAGTTTCCTGACAGCTTCTTACTGCAGCTCCAAGATTGTCTTTGTTCTTTTGTGAGCCAAGAGACAATGATGATTTTAGGATTCAATTGAATTTTGGAAACTGAGCCTGGGCCAGTTATGTAAGAGATGACAACAATCCAGCTCTGCTCTCATCTGGGTCAGACAGGAGCCCGTTCCGTTTGACCATATATGCCCTGCTGGGAATATGCAACAATAGAAAATCTATTTTTAACAAGGGATGCTATCACGTTAAAAATAAACGAGTGTTAAACGCAGGATTGATTTCTTAATGGATAAGATTATCTTGAATAACAGTGGAGTCCGATAATGAAACCAAAGCAACGCGGGCGAGTGTGGCTCGTCAATAATCATAATATTCATCTGCTGAGTTCACGTTAGCATGCATGCTAACTCGCTAACTGCTTTGTCTGAACTGGACTGGACTCTCATTACAAAGTGGGTCAAAATAACAGGAAGGAAGAGCCGCGTCGAGAAGAAGGCAATCAGAGGATTTTTACGCCGCTGCTCTGGACGTGCCTGAGCGACCACGCGCTCAGCTTCATTTCCTCTGTAGGCTCACTTCCTGCTTTGGCCTTTCCTGCCTTTTTGAAGTGTGTTTTGTGGCATGTTATGGGTGGTTCTTTTCTGACTTTGAATCAACAATTCTCACTTTGGGTGAGACCATTGTCAGCGTCATAATCTACCCAGGCAAATTATCCCAAAGGCTCTGATACAGATGGACACAGTGCGTAATCTTGTTTTGACGTCAGTTGTTCAAAACTGAACTAAAAGCAGCAGCAACTCCCAATTTAAAACCATGTTTTTTACAGTAATGCATCTACTGGCTGTGAAGAAAAAACTAGTCTAGTAAAATCTAAATAAAAACACTTTTAAAACGTTTTTTTTGTCCCTCCAAGAATCTGTGGAAATACAGTTTCTGTTTGGTAAAAGTGTGCGACCCAGAGACATTCTTCATTTGATGTTGTTGTCGTCGTCGTTG